ATATATATCATATATATATATATATATATATATATATATATATATATATATATATATATATATATATATACACATACACATACACACACACATATATTTGTATGATATTAGTATGAACACTTATGAGAATTATTGTTGATAATAAGAAGAAATGTGTTTGTACATATTTATGTATAATATACTGAGAAACCGTGTTAGTCTCTATTGTAGTTTTAAGACGTCAGCAATCAGGAGCTGTGTTGCGGTCACTCAGATTATGTAATATAAAATTGTATATTAATACTTTAGAGCTTGTATATCTTTTGTGTGTAAAATTATCTCTAAGAGAAAATTCCAGATATCGACAACTTGATCTTATCTGAAATATTGAGAATGTGTATCTATTTCTTAATGTTATTTACTTTGCTACTCTCAACGATCTCACTTGTTTGGATAATCTGAGGAACCGATACACTGATTCTGTTTAAGACATTTAAGAAGCCGCATACCTTCCATGAGCGACAGCTACTGTATCTTATAATTAACCGTCTACCTAATACTACATGCAGTCTCAACATCTCACTCAAGCACGAGAATATGTCTTTCCTACTGCATAATCAGACTCCGATTATCACAATTTGTACCTAGATGTGCTTGAGCTAAGATAATAGTGGTATGGATAGGCAGAACGACCGCACAATTGTATACAATGAGGTCCAGGTCTGAGTGATTGTCACTAAACGATATCAGTGTAGCATAGTCTAACCCTAGCATTTTGATGTATATCTATTTACCTAATTCCTAATTCTATCAACTCCAACTGCGAAACTACGTATGAGCTTCCAAGATGTGTATATGTATTCGAAATGCCAAGCCAACGATTCGCGTTCTCGAAAAGATAAGCGAGAAAGTATACATCTTTTAGTATTATCACCACCACACCACACAAAATCTATTTTCGAGCGATAACGTCATTCTTTCGTGCGAAATCGCGATATTTTTCCGAAACTAAACTATATACAATATTTATCTCCTTTGATTACCAACACAACTCAGACAACATAATGTCTAAAATCGAAACATAAAATGTCTTAAAGGTATCTTTCAGATGATTTACGTATAAATGTCTTTAAGGCATATTAAAGATTATCTTTTAGACGTCTTATGTCTCGATTTTAGACATTATGTTGTCCGGGAATCAAAGTGATCTGTTAGCAGCCTGCCGATAGACTGACGATACATTCGATTTATCAACAAAGATCCAGACATTCGTGTCCGCATTCGGCTCGCGTTCTGTCAACAGTATCTGTGCTGGCAGAAAACGAACAGGATCATAGTTCCATTTAAATACATTGAAACGACAGATCTTGTATTTCTGCTAGCGAACTACCGACAGAGCTGCAACGGACTCGTAAACGTGTACAAAACTTTTGCAGGTTTGGTTATCTGAATACATGTGTACTTGTATGTGATTACGAAAAGATGTACTTTTTCCAAATTAGAGATTCATATTACAATGTATATTTTCGGAACGTTGTGTGTTTGTAGAAGTATCAGATATTTTTCAATATACGCATTACGAGCGTGTCATTTACACACACACACATACACACACATATCAAATCCATTGCCTTTTTTCTCTCTCTTTGTTATGCGTTTTGCCATCTTATCGTATATGGCAGTACGAGACAGATAATGTTGTAATGGACTGACCTACGGACTCGTGTTCTCACCGACAGCAAAGTCCTCTCCAACAGCTTCAGACACATATACGTGACGAAAAACACCGCGAAAGTGCTCCGCGAACTCGTACAATCGTCGAAACGGTATACGCGGAGGATTCGATTACGATCCACAGTACGTCCCGCGAAACACGATCGCATTTCAAATGCGCACTGAACATAGCTGCGAGTTCGCGATTCTCGAGTGTCGCGTCATTTTCGGAACCTCGAGCTCTGCGTTGCAAGATTTGTTTCATCGCGCGAATGATTATTTTGAAATTTAAAGTAATTTTGATTACCGATAATTGTCGCGATACATGTATAAATAATTTTAAACAGCTAACGAAAATTCGCCTCCAAAGCACAACTCAGTAAATACTTTGTATCAGTAACATAACATCGATGTTTTAATGTTACACATAACAATATAACGGATATATAACACGATATTATGTAGTAGTCGCATTGTTGTGTGGGACATTATAATATCGATATTACATTATTGATACTTGTTTGCCGGAAAGAATTTTGAGGTTAATTAGATTTCTATTTGAAATATAACGATCGTTCTTCCAGCGAGCAATATTAATAATATTCCAATTATCTTCCACAGCAGCAGATCCGACCAATTATTAACGACTAATGCATCAAGTAGTCTGTAATGCGATAAATACCGAAAGAACTATATATTATAAAGTAATGATATCTCTTCACAGAGTGAAACGAGTTGAACGCGTATCCGATAAATTACGTCGCAGCTTACAAAAGCTTGGCGCGACTCCCACAAAAAAAAAAAGAAAGTTGGCTTGGCTTCTTCCAGACTCAGTATTAGAAGAGAACGGCGAGTGAAAGAAAGAAAAATATGAGGAAAAGTGAAACTTGGCTTGTAGAACGTTCTACCACAGATTACACTTTACAGAGACGTTGACTTTTGTCACCCGACTTTACGGGGTTGTGTCTCGGGAAAGCTCTCCCCGTCCACCCTTGCCTCCTCCTCTCGTACTTTTATGATGATTTTATATAACACGCGGTGACACTTGAAAATATACTTGTTGGCGGTATAGTATTTTATACAAATATTATATAGCCGAAGTAGATCTTAAAGATTTTATAAATGTTTTAACGCAAGAAAAGGAGAGGTAAAAAAGGGAGAAATACGTCTTTGTGCTCGTATAAATACGTCATGTACTTCGGCGGCGCCTCAGACTATTTTAACGAACTGCCGTTCGTGGTTTGAGCAACTGTATCGCGAGACCTTTTAATTCGTATCAATTATCGGGCTTCGTGCTCGTCAATATCAGACAATGTGAGGGACCGGAGTGAGAATTTTATAAGTGTATACACACGCGGAGAAAATAGAGCAAAAGGTTTTACGGATCGTAATTAGTGCCAATATTTTCTTTGCCAGTGTCACCGACGTTTACCCTTCCGATTCTGTGACTCTGTTGAACATCTATCGATGAAAATGTAATTTTTATTTATTGTAAATAAAAAACAAACATATTGCTTAAAGGATTTTATATATTGTGCACTCTAAATCGATATACAGATGCGATTCCATCCAGAGGTGGAATATCTACATATTGTGACCCAGAGATTGTAACATTCTTGACTCTGTATTGAGATCTTGCAAGAACGAAAGTACAACTCTAGGAACACAGGCAATGTGCAACAGGAATAAAAAGTTAATTTCCGATAACACTGTGTATTACATTATTATGAATTAAATAGCCCTTATGTTATATCAATCACATAATATCTCAGTCACTTATAACCTTAATATCGCATTGCATTTTTGTCATTTAGTCAATCGAGTGTTTATCGTGCATCAAATACAACAACTAAAAGCATAGTTAAGGAAAATTGTTCTTAAAGAAATTAAGATTATTAAATTACATTTACAAATGTCCAATATTATAGAAAGGATACGTCTCTTGGTGCGCTTCTTGTACATGATCCTATATCCACATTCCCTGCACCGAATTGGATCCTTTTGACGAATTTCATTATCATTATGGCATTCTAAAAATATAATTAATTAAAAATATAATTAAACAATAATAATCTTTCTATAATACAATATTTGTTTTAATTATATGCATATATTTGTGTACATCTATGTACAGTATTTAATATTTTGTAACACTTGCAAGATTCTTAACATTATACATATTGTTGTAGAAGATATAAAAAATGATATTTTCAAAGCATATTTTTACATTTAGATTTGGAAAATAAAACAATAAAGTAATATTGTTAAGATATTCAAAACTTTGTATATGTAAGTACATTCTACAAAAATGCACACAAAAGCAGCATTTCCACATTAAACTTGCTTTCATAGTTACATATTCGAATACTTTGAAAATGCTTAGATATAATATTGTTGATACCGATATGTGTGATTTAAGAAATTTAATTAAATATTTACAAAAATAAAAATGTACAAATATGACGGGCTGAACAAAAATTAACTACTATAAACATGGATGTTATTGTTTACAAAAAGATCAAATGAGGTTAGAACATGCTTGACAAAATGTCTTTACCTCCGCAGATGTATACCATGGCCTTCGGTGTAGATTCGGATTTACTAGATTCCATTTTACTGCTAGAGCAATATATTTATTATTATCTAAATAAACGCAGCACTTGTACTAAACAAAATTACTTAGTAAAAAGTTACTACAAAGTAACTTACTACAAAGTTACTTTCTTAGTATTTAAGAATAAAAATTTCTGAAATCTCTCTCTCTCTTTCTTCAATATATAGTTCCAGCACCCCAACGCCATCTACTTATCTCTCTCTCTCTCTCTTTATGCAGACCTTAAGCCCATCGCACATGAAATGACATAGCTGCATATGCATAGTATAAAGTCGTATAGACCAATGAGCATCGAGTATTAAGCATTAGCATCAATATGGCGGATTAATACTCGATGTTTATTGGTCCATACGACTTATGATATGCATATGCAACTATGTCATTTCATGTGCGATGGACTTTAGGCTAGTGTCACACAGAAAAACTTATAGCGTGTTTGACTGGTCCTGGGTTAATCGCTCCGAGAGCGATTAATGACGTTATAAGTCTCTACTAGTCAATCATAAAGTTTATAAATACTTGTTCGACCAATAAACGTAGGCTAACCCAGAGTAGGTTAACTCAGAGCCAGTCGAACATGCTATTAAGCAGTAAAACGTAATGCAGGATTCACACCACGTCCGATATCTGACGTATGACGTCTGATATCCAATAGGAGAACAGCTTTCTAATGTAGAATTCAATTCTCCATTAGAAAGCTATTTTTTTATTGGCTATCGGATGTGGTACGTCGGACACAGTATGAATCCTAGCAAATTGACGAGTGGGACCCGATTGATCACGGTACGATTGGACACAGATTGTAATGATTGGTCCGACCTGGTAATTCACTAGATAATTCTTTGCATCGGTTGGTTGTATTCAATCGTACCGTGGTCAATCGGGACGCTCCCCAAATTGACCAATTAGAGCCGTGGTACACAGAAAAACTTACCCCTTGTCCACAACTTTGCTTCAATCTTTAAGTCGTAATAAATTGACCAACCACAATCGATTATTTTAAAAATAATGAACTGTGGTTAATCAATTTCTTACGGCTTAAGAATTAAAGCAAAGTTGTGGACAAGGGATTAAGCAGTAATAGCTCCTGCACACAGGACGCGGTAATGCTTGCCGCGCGGCGGAAGTTCGCGCGACAGCCAATCAATATGCTACTTTCCGTAATAATCTTCTAGCTCTTACGGAAAAACAACATATTGATTGACTGTCGCGCTGACTTCCGCCGCGCGGCAAGCATTACCGCGTCCTGTATGAGCCATAGGATGTAAGCAGTAGTCCCGATTTACAATAGGTGTAGTAAGCTTTAAGAAATTAAAACTTAGGGCTTAGATCACCTATTGTAGATCGGGACGTAAGCAAATTGACCAATCACAGTCACTGATTTTTTTTACGGTCCAAAAATCGACGACTATGATTGGTCAATTTGTTTACTGCTTAAGTTTTTCTTTGTGCCACGGTCCTTATAGATTTAGGTTCGTTTTTTGAAGGAATTCAAGGAAATATTCAGTAAAAGTGAGGTTTTTGAAAAAATTTCTGATCAAGTGGTACCAAGTCATAGGCTGGTATTCATAGTCGAATCTTACTTCAAGACCGTCTTAAGTAATGTCTTAAGATGTGAATATGACTCTGTGATTAGTTCATGACATCTTAAAACAGTACTTAAGATGATCTTAAATATAAGATCGGACTATGAATACAACGATCGGCCATACTACGACTTTGATATTTCGTCAACCAAAGATAGTGGCGACTTCTCGCGGAGATCCTGAAACTATATACGAGACAACAGCCGATTCACATGCAGGTTAGATGATCCTTTACCTTTAGAGCAGTTAAATTCAATAGCGACAATATTCGAGAGGTATTGTTACACCAAAAACAGATGTATACCAGTCTAACAATAACAGATATATAACAGTCTAACAATTGGTTTATAAGACGTATAAAACGTAAAATATATAAAACGTACAACAATTGACTCAAATATTGACTCAGTATTGCAAGGAATTGTAGGAAAGATTTTTAGGTTGCAATCAATATTGTATCACGCGACAGAGAAAAAACGTTTCCTCTACAACGAAATTATATGAAAAATCTCTAATTAGAAACGTGCAATATAATATTCAACAATACAAAGTTATCTTTTTCCATAAACCTCAGCAGAAAATGATAGAAGTTAAGACGAAAGTAAAGAAAGTGTGACTCAAAATTCAAAGGCGCAAGTACGTGAATCTGCGCAGGCGCGTCGTGCGAACTCGAGAGAACTAATCTCCCTAGCAACAGATGCTCGTGACGCGTACACTCTGCAGCATCCATTGATCGTGGTACGAACGCGCTAAGCCAATAGCAGCGCTTGGCAACGAACGGCGGCACAGTGGACGCGCGCGATTGGACGCCGCGCTAGTTTGTGGGGAGCGCGCGGTAGGAACGGAACGCGCGAGTGGTCGACCGACGACACACAGAGGGAGAGTCTACGGCGTGCGCATGTTTTTCCTAGGCTGCTCACCCCCGGCTATTCAGTGACATTTGGCCAAGGGTAGAGGATTCAGCGCGGGCGGGCGAGCTGTGTTTCGTGAGGACGGCGTATTCGCGCGACGTTCGAGTTGGCACGGAAAGCCGACGTGTGCGCGAAAGCCGATCGCGGTGAACGGCAGCGCGGGTTTTGTTTACGAAGCGCGCGCGCGCGCGCGAGAAAGGGTGTTTCTACGTGCTTGCGCCGCTGGATGGCAGTGAGTGCCGGACGAGCATGGGAGGACGAGTGGAAGGGTGAAAAGAGTGTTTCCCGCGCTGCGCACACGTGAGTATCGTGAAGCAGCGTCTGCCTGTCGAAACGTTAAACGGCGAACGTCAAGTGCCATACGATGAATGCGGGATCTCGGCGAGATTCACGGTGTACATTGTCGAGAACGAGAATCCCGAGTAAAGTCAGTTTCGCAGAATGACATTCGTGCGTTCTGCGCGATCGCCGCGGTCAACGCGGACGGATCGTCGTTCAACGACGCCTGCTTGTTTTCGCCCGGTGTAAACAGACTGTTCGCGAGCAACGCGAGAATCAGAGGATCAGAGGACGGGACAATTCGTCGCGAGCAATCTGTCGATTCGCGAGTGAGCATCGAGTGACGCGTTTCGGGCTTGACCGAGATACGAGGAGAGCTCGTCACGTTGGGGCACGGCTCGCGCGCGCGCGCCATCGAGCCTGTTACGTTTGTATACCGGAATGAGACTGCGTGATTCTTGTTGACGAAGAAATTCGCGACGTGGAAATTCCTCGACGATCTCGTACAATAAACAAATGAGGTTAGCTTGATGCGGCAAGATCCGATACGTTGACGCGCACACCATCGTGAGACATGTCGTTTTCGCTGCACCGTACGGCAGACGTAGGGGAGATAGTCGCACCGGAAGTCGAACGTCGAAAGTCCCATCTGCGCGACCGAACGAACGAAAGAATCGCGTGCATTCCGAACGCGATGGACGATAGCGGAACTCCGCACACCTCCGTCGATTCGAGCGGCCGCAGCTGCCATGACAACTATCATGACAGCGTCGACAGCGGCTACCTGAGCGGCCTGACGCCGCACTCCAGCTACACCCCGATGGTGAACACCGGTTACAAGAACAAGCTGTCCAGCGCGATCGCCAAACGACACAGGCTTCGTTCGGATCCGCGGCAGTGCGAGAAATTTCACAGACATCGCGCCAAGCTCAATCAGCTGCTGAACGCTTCGGGAGCCGAGCAGCCGGTCTCTGAGAACTCCGATTCCGGGCTGGAGTTGTCCCATGCGAATCAGGACTTCTGTCTGCTGGCACATTCCACCCCGAGTTGCGTGAACGATGATTTCGACGAGGCTCTCGAGAATAGGAGGAATTGGAAGACCGCGGTTACTCCAGCTTCCGCGGGTCTCCATCTTTTGTCACCGCCGCCCTCTCCGGCAATGCCTACCTCGTCCTACGTGGCTTCGGTGCTTCAGGAGGAGGATGTGGAGATGAAACTAGTCGTACCGCAAGAGAGCACACCGAAAGCTGCGACATCGCCGAAAACCCCGATACCGCTCATTGTCATCTCGCCGGTTCACGGGAGAATCAATCCCGCCACCATCACGTCGGTGGAAAATCGACAATTGAGTAAATTGTCTATCGCGGATTTGAGTGCCATACCCGAGATCAAGCCGAAGAGGCTCGATTTCAGCCACCGTGGCTTGTCGGAATTGCGCTGTAGCGGCGGCACCACTTTAGGCTACGCGAAAAGGGACAAGGTGGATTTCTTGTCGCTACTGGGAGAAGAGAGCAATCACTGGAACGTAGTGTCGAAGATCTTGTCTTATCTCGGATGTCAAGATCTATGCACGGTCAGCATGGTGTCCGCCACATGGAGAAGAATTTGCAGAAATGACACGAGTGCCAATAGGCGGAGGACGCACTACATTTCACGCAAACAGAATGTCAAGGAGAATTTCGCGTTTTTGAAGAAGATGAAGCACGAGGAAGACATACAGATGAGTCCTAAGAGCAGAAAGGGATGCTACGTGAGGAAGGGGTGTTTGTCGAATGTGCAGAATTTGCTGCATGTGCCGTTAAAATCGAACCCACCGAACAGCCCGCCCGTATCGCCGAGCAAAATCAAATTTCACTCCTATGTCAAGGTGAGAAATATCACGTTGCTTTTTATCCGACTATTTGCTCGCCGAGCAAATGTCTTTTGTAGGTGCGTCTGCGATTTGTTTTATCATTCACTGCGAGGCGTCGTAAGATAAAAGTATCAATGCCCGGAAACGTGTCTGATTCTTATTGCTTTGATCTTTAAATATGAATATTTAAACTTTTAATATAATATGTATAATTTATTTTATATTGAAAGTTTATAAATATTCGTATTTTTAAAGACCAAAATAATCAGTTTTTTTAGATTTTTATATATTTAATGTAACCTTATTTTAAAAAACTGGTAGTGATATAATAGTTACATTATATATTTTAAAATAGATATTGCTTTATGTGTGCCAACTACGACCAAGAGCACACAGAAAAGCGTAGGCGATAAAATTTAAGCAGTGAGCAAATTAATCAACCACACTCGATGATTCTCTCTATGGCCCAGAAATAATTGATTGTGATTGGTCATGTTCTCACTGCTTACATTTTTCTATGTTCCATGATTCTATTTCTAATACTTTATACGCAATCTACGTGATTGACTTTTTCTAAAGAAATGTAATTTTCATTCCGAAACTAACGGCTCATCGCGTATCTCTGCGAAAACTCATAGGTATCATTGATAATTGAGTGTGTGATGCAATTTCAACGAGTGATACGAAACGTATCCAGTGTTGAAAGAATCGCGCGCGCTTCTCAGGGTTCTCGCATTCGACAGCTGCGTTCTCGTCGTACTCATTGTCGAAGAAAGAGAAAAGGAAAGAGAGGAGGTCATATTCGTCGCGTTTATCTCACAGCAGTCAAATGCCAGTGAGATGCGACTCTTATATCATCTTTTTAACATTAAACGTATCTCTCGAGGCTTAATTGAATAATTACTGTTTACAATTGATCCAAGTATACAAAAAAAATGACCGTGTCTTGTATCCAGGAACATCAGCGATACCGTGATTTTCTCGGGCGTGATGTTTCTGAAATATACGTCGAAAGGATATAAACTCGCCGGTTGATTTAATTAATTAGGAACCGATTTCTTCGCGCGCGGTCGACCGTTGCGAAAGACACGGCGCGTTGTTCTGAGACGCGATGAAGAATGCTTGTTCCGGTAATTCTCGCGAGAGAGGGAACACGATGGCTAATTACGGCCGGCGATAATCGATAGCCCGGTAGTCTCGAGGTTTCTCCGGACTAAATTGGCACTCGCGCGCGCGCATCGTCGCGTAGTTCGCGCACGAAATCGAATCGCGGTCGGGTAATTGTTTCGATCGCGAGATCGTTACTTTGACATTGATTTATCGTCATTTTGGCTTTGAGCCGCCGCGAGGGATAATTGCTCGGTAGGTCGTTAAGGCTCGAGATAAGCGAGCTCGTGGAACGGCGAAACTTGACGGACGACGTTTCTCGATGATGGGATTTCGCGTCCTTTGTGCTAAAGCACGAAACCTCAACATACGGCGTTATTAACGCCTCTAAATTCCGAGAACTGGCCCGCGAGACGTGAACGACCCTCGTAATTTCCTCGCGGGATTACGACAACCGTTGATACTTGACGCAACGTTTACGAGCATGCCCCGTTATGTCATTTTCCCGCAAATGTTCTCATTACGTTGTGCGTTTCCGCGCATCGTACGTGTCCGCCGGATGTCCGCGAGTCAAAAGAGCAGTCGGCTTGACATGTTCTGAGCCGAAACAAACGCGATGATTTACTCGCGGAAATCAGTCAGACGGCGGCGTGAAGAATCCGTGACAGTGATGTACGTGCTTTCTCGTTGCCGTCGTTGCGGAGGCTACCTGCCGCTCTCTCTCTCTTTCTCTCTCTCTCTCTCTCTTTCTTTCTCTCTTTCTCTACGCCGGACTTGCAACGACGAGCGACGCATTCCTCCTCGCGTTAGATCGCGATAGCGGATGCAAGTGGCATACCTCTATATCCTTTGTACGCGCGCACGCATACACAGAGAGAAAGAGAACGATAACGATAGGCTTGTATTCGCACTCTTGTCAAAGCCGATACCGACCATCCGTGTCGCTAATCTTTGCGAAACGTAAAATGATCGTAAAAATGATCAATTATATTTGAATCTTTTCTGAATATGAAAAATTTTCACTGAAGTATGATGAATTTTTTTTGAGGTTTGCACCATCGTCGATTATCAACCGCTACAAGAAGAGAATGTTATAGTTGAACATTACTATATGATTTTACAAGACTTAATTTAAATGTTAAATAACGTGGAAATGTATGGATTCTTGATTAACGCAGTGCGTGAGTTTGGAATGATTTTAGTGTTTTTTTTGTGCTTTTCTCAAAACTAGGAGAGATCGCCTAAGTACCTTTTTAGAATATAACAATTCACTTATAATATTCTCTCCATGTAATATCCCAAAGCGTTAAAAATATTGTCGATTCAGCTTTCGACAACTCAATTTGCAAGGAATTTTTTCATTCTGTTGTATATAATTTCATCATATATAATTTCGTTTTGTATATAAATCCCTCATATATAATTTCGTTTTAGGTATGATAAGACGGGAAGATAAAACTTTGATGATTGAGTTTTTAAAAGATGCCGAGATAACGCGAAGAGGCGGCGTTAAAAATTGCGATACGAAGAATGAGCGTGGACCGTAAATAAATTCGGGTCGTGGTGCATTGCAAAGAAAAATCGACATTAACGTTCATGTGGGCATGTACAATGTTGTTTAATGCTCTCAACCAAAATTGAGTCTGGCGAACGATATATCAGAGCGCGCGTCCAGAGCGGCGCGCCAACGTTCGCCTCTTCTTTGGATCGCGAGCCATCCGCCCTGCGGCGAAAACCGGCCACGAAGAACAATGCGAATATATTATGGTATCTGGCATTAAAACAAAGGGCGGGCAGAACCCTTAAGTCTTTTACGACAGTCGTGTGAGACAATGCCAAACCGCGAGCGTGCAACGTAAAAAATGCGAAGCGCTTTAGTCGCAAAGCTTTGAAAATTGTCGCATGCAAATGAAAAGGCATTAATATATTCCGCTGCGGCACGATTCAAATCTTCGCCAATTTAACAAACATATTATGTTACGTTATTAATACAGATAGACATACACGATGTCTGACACAAAATGTCCCATATTTCGTGTACGTGTAGATTATCATCTGTTTTGTATTTAATCAATATAAATGACAGAGAGAGAGAGAGAATTTATGTCTAAACTATTTGTAAAATTTAGCAGGAAGATTTCTCTGTTACGTCGATCCAAGTTAAAACCAGTCACAGTTCTTATAAAAATTGATTAACTTTCTAGACACAAAAAATTCGTCAACTTCATTATTATTTTAAATTTAAACTGGCATTTTCACGATTCTCCCTGGACTAGCAAAAAAAAATGTTTAGTGTCTCTGACGTCTTTTTAATAATATCAAATTTCGACAGATTTGCAAGTCGGGAAATTCGAGACCCGTGTCTTCCTTGCTCCCTGCACATTTCTCTGATTACTCGAGCGCCCTTAATCCTCGGGCAATCTTGCGGGATGCCGTAGAAAGTTACGTTCGTGGCGAGACACGGTGCGAACATTTTCGTGACAACAAACGCTCCTCATCTCGATCGTTTTTATCACAACCGGTGCACTGACCGGTGTATATATTCTTTCACCAATTATATTCTGTGCTTTTTCTTGACCATTCTGACTAAACCCCTAAAAGGCCGTTAGCTTTCTCGAGAGATGTCTCGCTGTCTCTCGAGATATCAAAATTGTACGCATTCTTGTTGCGGTAAATCTTTCGTCGTGTCCGACACGTCGTATTAATTGCAAAAGATATCGATTTTTCATTGATTCAAACGACCGTCCCAAAACTTCAATTCGGGGAATTAATTTCGCGACGAACAGGACGAAGATAGTTCCGTAAGGAGGAAGGGCGGTTTCGGCGAAAGGAAGGAAAAGATTGTTCCTTAATTAGCAACGACTACGAAGGGTTCGTTGAGTGGCCGTCTACGTTGACCGCACCGGGTGCGGGTGTTTCCTGTGAAACGCAAGACTCCTCGCAGTCCCTTTTTCCGGTAGGTATCTTGAAATTTTTACAGGGGACATAAGAGAATCCGGTCGAGCGAGTCTTCCGTTTCGAGTCGAGACAAACCGACGTAGACGACTGACCGCTTTTTCACTGTCGTGTAATTTCAATCGCAACGTCGACGCGGTAAGAATTGGCGATGGTCTTTTAGGGGTTTAGTCGGAATAGTCGTAAAAAGCGTAGAATATAATTGAAAGAATATAAAGTATACGGAAAAAAAGATTTCACTGCCGCGGCTAATAATAATTTATTGAAAATTGTTGCTGTAACCAAAACTTTTAAGTTTAATCTACAATGTGTTCTTTGCTTCCTGCTTCTTTCTCTCTTTCTGACTCAAACCTTGAAGCTTAAAGCTTGATTTACCGTGTGTTTATTTGCTTCTTCTTTCTTTTTCTTTATCTCTTTCTGACTCACACCTTAAGCCTTAAACTAAAAAAAGACAGAACAGAAACGTACAAAGAGCTTTAAGCCTGATCTACAATATGCTTTTTGCTTCCTGCTTCTTTCTCTTTATCTCTTTCTGACTCACACCTTAAGCCTTAAACTAAAAAAAGACAGAACAGAAACGTACAAAGAGCTTTAAGCCTGATCTACAATATGCTTTTTGCTTCCTGCTTCTTTCTCTTTATCTCTTTCTGACTCACACCTTAAGCCTTAAACTAAAAAAAGACAGAACAGAAACGTACAAAGAGCTTTAAGCCTGATCTACAATATGCTTTTTGCTTCCTGCTTCTTTCTCTTTATCTCTTTCTGACTCAAGCCTTAAGCTTTAAGCCAGAAAAAGATAGAAGACAAGAAACAGAACGCAAAGAGCATATTGTAGATTGTAGATTTTTAGGCTTGAAGCTAGAAAAAGACAGAAGACAAGAAATTATTATCTTTTAACAAGTAGCCGAGAATTTGTGGCATTGACCTTGCAACTTCAGGAAATCTTGTTCGAT